CATGGGTGTCATCAAAGGAAGCACTGGGTTAACCAGAAATGAAGCCAAATTGACTTGCCTTTGAAAAGGAACAAGTAACTCACTATCCTGTAATCACTCCTTGAATCCACTGAAACCATCACTTCAAAGTAACTCCTTGGGCTCCACACCAATTAGTATCAAAGCTACAGGCAATACCTGAGAGAACAATGCCCCATTGTTGAGAATGAGGAAAGGATGACTGGACACTTCTTGAGTTCGTCACTATGACTTAGCAAAAAAGAAACGTGAAGACAAAGTAAAAAATACTTCCAGGTTAATGCATGTTTTGAGTTGGTGGAAAGGGAAAGGGGACCTCAGAAGAATTCTGAGGGATGGTGACTTGAGTGTCTAATGTTCTCAGAGAAGAGCATTAAATAAAGAATATTATGCTTCTTTTTTTTTTTTTCAGAATCCAATGCCTCCCATAAAGTAACCAAAGAATAAATAGTCCATTTATATGGGAAAAAACACAAAGAATAAATCATGACGTGGTGGTCATTAATTCTTTCATATTTTTCTGAATCTTCTTTTAGGACTATGATAGAATTGCAGATCCCTTGCCCTTGAAGTAGGGTATGGTCATGAGACTTGCTTTGGTCAATGAAATGGTGGAAGAAATGACATGTGCAACTTCTAGGCCACAGTGTTTAATGACCTAAACATAATTTGTTATTCTCTTCCACTTCCTCAGGAGTCAACAACATTTCTAATAGTGGATGCTCTACCAGTCTGGCTCCTACAATGAAGAGCAATATCTCTGATCAACCCACACTGGAAATGTAGCCATGAACAAGAAATAAACCTTTATTATCACCTTTATTAAACCTTAAGAAATCTTAAGTCACTAAGATTTTTGTGATGTTATTACCACACCTTTACCTAGCCTGACTAGATTTCTATATATGACATTGAAAGAAAAATATTCAGCTTCATAAAATTCAAGTCAACTGTAAAATACCATTTTGAACATATAAATTAGCAAAAAAAAAGGAACTAAATGACAAAAATCCAATGCTAGCAATACTGAGGATTTAAAAAATAACATTACTGATTATGCAGTTTGATGCAACATTCCTGGAGCATTATCTGATATAATCTAACAAAAGTCAAAAATACATCTTTAACCCAGTAATTTCCTTGTAGGAATTTATTTTGTGGAAATAGTTTGAAGAAATTGTTGAAAATTATTTATAGAGAATGGTTTAGAGCAGCTTTAGTCATAATGGTCAAAATGCCCAACAATTAGATAAGGTTAAGTAAACTAAAGCAATTTAAAAATTTAATATGTAAATTCCTAAAACCAGTGGAAGAGTATATATGACATACAGTTCAGTGAAAAAGTAGCCCACCTCTACACATGAATTATAACTAAACATACTTTAAGCTCCTATAGAATAAGCAGATCTTTCCACTAGAATTTAATATACCCCATGTGGATAGGAATTTTCTAGATCTTATTTCCTACTACGTTCCAAGTATCCAGAATAATGCTTAGCACATGGAAGACATTCTGTCATATATTTAATGAACTGATTCATCAATTAATTAATTAACCTTCATAAAAACCTTCAAAGTCAAGTATAATGTTATTGTCCCCAAATTATAGCTAAAAATTAATTGTGTTTTTGAGAGGTTTTTTGCTTGGTTGGTTGGGGGAGGGCTTTTCTTCCTTTGCATATTTTTCTATGGTGTTTCAGCATTTTTAAGAATTCTCTCTGAAAAATGAGTGAAAATATCAGTGAGGGTGACAAAATATGAGAGACATCTAACTCTGGGAAATGAACAAGGGGTAGGGGAAGGGGAGGTAGGTGGGGAGTTGGGGTGACTGGGTGATGGGCACTGAGGGGGGCACTTGACGGGATGAGCACCGGGTGTTATGCTATATGTTGGCAAATTGAACTCCAATTAAAAAAAAAAAGAATTCTCTCTGAAGGGATGCCTAATTCTTTAGTTCCCCCTCTCCACTCAACCCCTCCTGAGAACCTCTTCTGTGGTCCTCAATGGGCAGGAAGAGGCTCAGAGGTATACTGGGGCTTAGAAACCAAGCAGGGGGCAGGAGGGAGCTATCTTTAGGCTCTGTGTCTCTTATCTGTGTTCAGGTCCTGGCTCAAGTAGGGTGTTTTTTTTTTTTTTTTAAGATTTTACTCATTTATTCATGAGACACAGAGAGAGAGGCAGAGACATAGGCAGAGGGAGAAGCAGGCTCCCTATGGGGAGCCTGAGGCAGGACTTCAATCCCAGGACCCCGGGACCATGACCCAAGCCAAAGGCAGGCATTCGACCACTGAGCCACCCGGGTGCCCACCAGCAGGGTTTTCAACCCTTCTGAGCCCAAACATAAACATGATGTCTTGGGTGAGAACATGAATATGAGAGAACTTGTAAACCATATAGAGTTATACAAGTTTTGGGGGCTCAGTTTCCTTATTTATCTGCTTCCTAGGATAACTAGAAAAACCCGAGAAAGAATGTACATAGAAGTGCTATGTATATTATAAAGCTCTCTGACAGATTCCACTTTTGGTGAAAGAATCAGGGTAAAAGGGTAGGAAGAGCATGCACTAAAACTTATTGGGGTGGCTGTGGCTCCTATGAGCCTGAGTCGTCTGTCTCCTCCTCCATGCCCAGCATGTGCAGGCAAGTTGTTCATACCCCACTGGTTAGTCCAAACACAGCTTTCCTTCCTGCCAGCCCTTAGACATCAGGTAACACCTACACGTTCAGGGCACATCCAGGACACACCAATGGGGGCTGATGAAAACCCACAGATTGCCCAAGCCTTTTTCCATCAGAGCTCTTCGGGGACACCTGAGGGAGATGAGTGCCAGATGTTCCTTGTATTAATTATCTATTGCTGGGTAACAAATTATCCTAAAACTTAGTAGCTGAAAACAACAAATGTTTATCATTTTACAATTTCTGTTGGTCAGGAATCCAGATGTGGCTTAGCTGAGTGCCTCTGACTCAAGATCCCTCATGAGGTTTCAGTCAAGCTGTCAACCAGGGCTATGGTTTCATCCAAACGCCTGATTGGAGGGGGTTGGGGAGGAGGAGATACATTTTGAGGCTCACTTATTTGGTTGTTGAAAGACCTCACCCTTTCCATATGGCACAGAGCTACCATACGACACGGCAGCTAGATTCTCCAAGGATGAGTGATCCGAGAGAATGGGAGCAGCCAAGATGGAAGATAATCTCCACAGTGGCATCCCATCATTTCTGCCATATTCTATTTGTTAGAAGTCAGTTGATAGGTCCAGCATGCACGGAAGGAGAAGGGATTACCAAAAGACAGGGATCATGAGGGACATCTGGGAGGCTGCCTTCCACTCCCCTTCTTTCTCACATTTCCTCCATAAGGCAGTGCCGATGCCCCCACCAGAAGCCATGCTACCTACCTGGCTCAGGGCACTGAAAATCAGTCCTATCCCCAGAATGCTCTACAATGTCCTAGCAAGTTGGAGAGGTTACATCAGATCTACACACAAGAAGACTCATCTAGAAAACCCCAGCCCAGGCCCACCTCTAACACTGTCTTAGTCCATTCAGGCTGCTATAACAAAGGTAACACAGGCTGGATGACTTTGAAACAACAATTCATTTTTCAAAGTTCTGGAGGCTGGGAAGTCCAAGATCAAAGTGCCAATGGATTTGGTGTCTGGTGAGAGCCTGCTTCTTGCTTCATAGACAATCATCTTCATGCCAAATCCTCATGTGGTTAAAGAGGCAAGGGGACACTCAGGGGTCTCTATTATAAGGGCACTAACCCCATTCATGGGGGCTCCTCTCTCATGACCTAATCAGATCCCAAAGCCCCACTTCCTAACACCGTCACATTGGGCATTAAGTTTCAACATGTGAATTTGTGTGTGTGTGGGGGGGGACACAGTCAGTCTATAGCAAACACACACTGACTTAAAATGATGAATGTGTTAAGGGAAAATAAAGAACAGTGGTTAAGGGTATGCTCTGGAGCCAGACTATTTGGGCTGGAATCTTGATTGTGCCACCTAATTATGTGAAACCTTGTCCAAGTTTCTCACTCTCTCTGAGACTCGGTTTCTTCATCTCTAAAATGGGACCTATCTCATACTAAGGACTAACAAAAACAATAGGTAAAGTACTCAGAACGTGTCTGGCACACAGTAAACTCCCAAGATATGTGTATAGTCTATTCATGCTATTTTTTTTTGTTGTTGTTGAAAATAAAAACAGAAGATCTATCCTGGAAAGAGGATCGGATCCCTAAGAGGGATCATCTTGCCCAAACTTCCCTCTTAGTAGTCATGGACTTCTAAATATGGTATTCAAGTATTTTTTAAAAAAGAAAAAGATTCTCCAAGGAAGGCCAAGTTGTGTGCACTGCATGTTAATGCTTGGCCATCAACACTTTACTCAGGCCATCATGAGCCATGAGAGTGGCAGAAGCACAATAGTGTGCTTTCTGTGTGTCTTTCCTAATCTGCAAAACAGATGCGGCCTGGACAGTCTCTGCTCCAGGCCGTCTTCAGGAGGAATGAAGCCCTACAACTCTGGCACAGGGTTCTGCATTCCCAGGGAACAGGATCCCCATAAATCAGGCCGCTGATTCCAACCTCAAACCCTGAAGCAGAGGGGTTCTTGGCAGAAAGCTCTTATTTTGTCCGCTTATGACTTTTTGTCTAATTACTTAGTCCTGTAAAATCCAATTGGTTGCAACTAGAAAAATGATGATTTTAGCTGTGATGTCTCGTTCACACTGAGCATATGTCTCCTGTCTGCGTCCCTTGGTGACTTTGAAAGCAAGAATAGCAGATTATGGCAAATTCCTCCCAGCAGACTCCAGTCCTAGACAGAAAGCCAAGCAGAGTAGAACATCCAAACCGAGATCACTTAGAAGCTGGGACAGACAAGGGGGCATGAACAGCCTCCAGGCCCTCGCCTGCCAGGGTGCCCACTGAGACCATGAAGCAGCGGGAAACACCTCCCCATGGACTCACCTCCTCAGGGCTGATGAGCCTGACCTCAGCTCTCCAGCTGCTTCACGTCAGGGGAGCTACACCACATCTGGAGCTTTGCCTCTTCATCTTTCGAGAAGCTTGTTCATGGCCTCTGCTTCTCCTTCTCTCCAGGGAATATGCTCTCCCTCTTGTCCTTAGGTTCCCTGCTCCCCAGATGTGGGTGTCTGTAAAACAGCTGGATGGCCTGAAAAAATATCAGCTTGATCCCCATTCCCCGTGGTGCCTAAGGGAGCTTGGCCAGGCTGCTTCACTTCTCTGAACTTCCATTGTCTTCTCCACCAGAAGAGGGAGGCTGAGCAGCAGCTGACCCCTGCGGTCCTCTTTAGCTCTTTTTGCCTCTTCCCTAGGAGGATGGTGGTGGGTCCAAAGCAAAAGCTCCCTGCTGCCCACTGATAATCAGAGAGCAAGGCATTCCTGCAGGAAGATGGGTGTGCCTCGTGGTCTGCTCAAGCCCATCCTCCCCGCCTCCCCACCCCACATCCAGCATGCCAGCGAGACAGGATGGCCCCTTGAGCCCCTTTCCCAGCAGCTGGAGGAATGAGCCTGGTTAGAAGACCCCAGCATGGGAGCGAGGCAGTTTGTCAATAAAAAATAAATAAATACAAAAAAAAATACGTTAAGATCCTCTTATAGGGAGAATACTTGGTAGTGAAGCTTAAATCTGCGTGGTGTGTGTGATGTGCATGTGTGGTATGTAGTGTGGTCTGTGTGGTGTGTATGTGTGATGTGTGTGGTGTGGGGTGTGGGTGTGGGTGTGGGTGTGAGATGTGTGCAGTGTGGTGTGTGTGTGGTGAAGTGTGTGGTATGTGCGATGTGGTGTGTGTATGTGTGATGTGTGCAGTGTGTATAGTGTATGTGTAATATGTTTGCCTGGTGTAGTGTGTGTGTAGTGTGGTATGCAGCGTGTGTGATGTGGTGTGTATGTGTTTGTGTGGTGTGTGTAATGTGTGTGTGTGTGTGTGTGTGTGTGTGTGTGTAGCCAGATCCACCTTTTCAACACCTGTTGACACTAAGGATAAAAGTTTTTTTTTTTTAAGATTTTATTTATTTATTCATGAGACACACACACACAGAGACACACACAGGCAAAGAGAGAAGCGGGCTCCTCGCAGGGAGCCCGATGTGGGACTCGATCCCAGACTCCGGGATCATGCCCTGCTCAGAAGGCAGACGCTCAACCACTGAGCCATCCAGGCATCCCGATAAAAGTTTTTTTATTTGGGATCAGAACATTGGTATAAAGGGCATTTTGGGGGACATTGGTGGAACGTGAATATAGGCTATATATTACATTCAGTATTGTATCAGAGTTCAATTTTCTGAACTTCATAAACATATTGTGATTTAACAATGAGTGTTTTTATTACTAGTATTCAGAGATGAGGGCTCATGGTGCCTGCAACTTATTCTCAAATGTTTCAGCAACTAATGGTAATGACATAATAGGTCTACACAAGGAGCGCTAAAAGCACACGTGGCAATGCCACTCCTGGTAAATGCAGGTCAAGGGCGGACAGACGTGCGCTGTGCTCTTCTCACAGATTTCTACACACTTGAAAAGTTTCCAAATAAAAGGTGAAAAACTAAGGAAAGTAAGAAATTTCAAAAACAAAATGGAGATTTTGAAAACATCCTAGTTCGGGCTTAGAGGCAGCAGGTATGAAGATAGGTGAGAGCCTCTGGTTCATGGCCCTCGTGGGTTTCAGCGCATCACAGTGAGCCGCAGAGCCGAGCCCGCCTTGCACAGCTGTGTTTTGCTGGAGAGAGCCCAGGAAGGGAGACCACTGTCAGTGGGTAAGAAAGACAGGCCCTGGGCCATTACCCCATGGAAATCAAAGGCCCCCCCAAACGCAGGAGGCCACCAAGAGGGGCAGCACTTCAGCCCTGGAGGTGAGGGGACTTACTTCCCAAGACATCTGATCTGACTCGTTGGAGTTTCAAATGAGGCTGCTACTCACCAAAATCTCCCTCTCTCCTCACCAAGCATCAGCACCTTCTTTCCTTCTTTAACCTCCGATTTGCTTTGCAGTGATTGATAAGGAGGAGGCTGGCAGTGGGCTGCCCCCAGAGGCAGGAGGGCTGGGCCCTTGGCCACCCATGCCACGTGACCCCAAGTCAACAAGTCTGCTCAGGAGACCTCGGTTCAACAGACACCACCGAGATCCAAGATTAGAAGGGGTGATACAACCACAGGTCTTTGGGGTATCATTGCCTTTTTCAAATCTTTGTGACTGTCCCCATAGAGGAATACCATTATGATCACAAAAGCGTGGGCATCTGCTGCCCCACTGTACAGAAGGAGGATGCTTGTAGTCATCTTGGGTTGGGGGAGCGCACAAAAAGAGGACTTGGAGGACAAAAGCATTCCTCTTTCCAAACATTGCTCCCCCCCGGTTACCAAGCAGCAGCACCTGCTCAGCCCATGAGGCTCTAGAATCTTCTGCCCCTCTGCCATTGCTTCAATTTCATCTCCACTTCCCCTGATTTTCAGGCCTCCTCTGAGTCTACTTTGAGTAAAAATAGCCAAGGGCCAAGCTGGGACTTCAGTGTCCACTTGCCTGTGCCTCTTGCTTGGAAGTACCAGCCGGGCCCTTCCAGCTCCAAAGGTCCCAGATGCCAGGAGTGGTTTCTCCAAGGGACCACAAGAGGGAGACAGCTTTCTCTGCCAGGACGAAGAGCTGGCAAGCCAGTGTACCCAACCGTGTGCCCCCAACAAGTGCTTGGAAAGAGATCATTTAAGAAGGCATGCATAAGGGAAATCAGCCGGCATACATCCCTAGAAGTCATGACGCCAAGAAAAAAATCCCTCCCACCATGTTCTCTCCCATTCCCTGGCAATATATGAAGTCTCCAGAGTACACAGACCTTTTGGGTTAATTAATGGATCCATTGGAGATTTCCGACTCCTACCCTTTCCATTTTGAATTTGGACTGACCCCAATCCTAATTCCCTTTCCTGCTTTTCCCTCTCCCCTTCCTAATCTGGGTAAACTGCACAGTCCCACTGACATGCTAGCACGGCATTCAGTGACAGAAAGAGAATCCTAGTAGACCCCTATCACTTCTCCACCCTGGTCCTCCCTCTCTTGAACCACACACCTCTCTTCCTTGCCTCCATCTGGTTTGCCTGTACTGGAGCTTCAAGGACCCCATCCACCGCTCACCCTACCAGTGAGCCCCAGGGAGTCTTCTCCTCACCCATCCCTGCCCTTAGGAGGCCAGGTGTGTCCCTGACCCCATCAGCACCTCCTGCCCACTGCTTGGCCCCTTGCTGGTGTGCTCTGCACATCATTTACTCTCACTTTACATCCTCTGCCTTCCACTCACCCCACAGCACGGTCTTGAGGATGGTCCTTAAAAGGAGAAAATGTTCCTAAAAGCACCTTGAATTGTGTGAAGATGTTAATAAAGGCAGTGCTGTTATTATCTTTAATAGGCTTTATTTTTTTAGACTTTTTATGCTTATTACAATCAATGAACCTACATGGACATGTGATTAGCACCCAGAGTCCATAGTTTACACTAAAGTTCACTTTTGGTGGTGTGCATTCTGTGGGTTTGGACAAATGTATAATGACATGTGTCTACCATTAGAGTACCACAGGGAGTAGTTTCACTGTCCTAAAAATCCTCTGCACTTTGCTTCTTTATCCTCCTCTCCCTTCTCCCTAATCCCTGGCAATCACTCATCTTTTTCCAGTCTCACAGTCTCTCCTTTTCCAGAATGTCACACAGTTGAAACCATACAGTATCTAGCCTTTTCAGATCAGGGCTTTTATCTAATAATATGCACTTTAAAATTCCCCTATGTCTTTTTATGGCTCGATAGCTCTTTTCTTTGCAATGTTTAATATTTCATTGTATGGATATACCACAGTTTATTTATCCATTCACCCACTGAAAGACACCGTGCTGGCTTCCAAGTGTTAGCAATCACGAACAAAGCTGTTATAAACATCCGTGTGTAGGTTTTTGTATGGACTTAAGCTCTTTTACTCATTTAAGTAAATACTAAGGAGAATAACTGGTGGATCGTAAAAAGGCAATGCTATTATTAATTGCACTTTTCAAGCAAAGGCTCCTCCTCCTTAGCTCCCGGATCTTCTGCGGTCTGCCTCACGAGAGCTTCGGAGAGTCCAGTCCTGGTGCCACGGCTCTCTAGTTCTTAGGATCTGATCCACTTGACTTCTCAATATAACATTTAAAAAAAAAAAAAAACGGACTTAAGATCATTGTAGATTTACATGCAGTTGTAAGAAATCATTCAAGAAGATCCCTTCACCCTGTTTCTCTCAATGATAACATCATCTTGCATAACCATAATATATTATCGCAAGCAGGAAATTGACAGAGATATGGATGTACCAGTTTATTTAACCATTCACCCATTGAAGGACTTTTGGGTTGCTTCCAGCTTGAAACTATTACAAATAGAGCTGCTATGAAGGTTTTCGTAGAGGGTTTGTGTGTGTGTGTGTGTGTGTGTGTGAACATAAGTTTTCATTTCTCCGGGATAATGTCCAAGAGTGTGATTGCTGGGTCATATGGTGAGTGCATGTTTAGTTTTGTAAGAAACTGCCAGACTTTTGCAGAGTGGCTATGCCATTTATATTCCCATCAGCAATGTGTGAATGATCCAGTTTCTCCCCATCTTTGCCAGCAATTGGTGTTATCACTGGTTTTTATTTTAGCCATTCTAAAAGGTGATAGTGATAACTCATTTTAATTTTAATTTCCATTTTCCCAATGGCTAACGATGCTAAACATTTTTTCCTCTGCTTATTTGCTTTCTGCATATCTTCTCTAGTGAAACGTCTGTTCATGTCCTTGCCCATTTTCTAATTGGGTTGTTTAGGGGTTTTTTTTTATTATTATTATTGAGTCTTGAGAGTTCTTTATATATTCTAGATATAAGTCCTTTGTCGGATATACATTTTGCAAGTATTTTCTTACAGGCATACCTTGTCTTTCCATTCTTCTTACAGGGAAAAGTTTTTAATTTTGAGGATTTTATTAATTTTTCCTTTTACAGATTATGCTTCTGACATCAAGTCTAAAAAGCTCTTTGTCTAGCCCTAGGTCCCTATGATCTTCTCCTTTTTCTTTCCTAGAAGGTTTTTTGTTTTGTTTTGTTTTTTACATTTTAAATTTAAGCCCATTTCCATTATGAGTGATTTTTTTTTTGTGTAAACATGTATGAGATGTGATAATGAGTAAGAGTAACAATAATGAGTCCTGATGTGTAAGGTTTAGGTGGAAGTTGGAGGTTTTGGTCTTGGTTTTGGTATTTTTGCTTGTGGACAGCAAGTGCTCCAGCACCATTTTTTGAAGCCATCCTTCCTCCATTGAACTGCTTTTGCTCCTTTGTCAAAACCCAGTTTAATGTATTTGTGTGGGCATTCAGTTGACTTTTGTCTTGCCTATTTTTTTTTTCTTTTTAGAAACTCCTTGCCTGGCAGAAATGCAAATGGCTGCACATATCTGAAGTCTCAGAGACTCTAAATAGGTAGGTGGTCATTGCTCCAAACTCTCACCCAGTGCCATGCCACATCAGGGGTGTGGCAAATGGCATCCAAACTTAAGGCACCAAACAATGAAGATGGTTTAGGGAAGGGGAAGTATCAATCAGCAACTTAATTTGATTTTACAAAAATGGATACTAGGAGGATAGGTCTCTTTCCAAGAAGGTGGCAAAATGTGAGTCAATTCCAATTTTCCCTTCCCTACAGTCTTCCCCAAAGGCTTCCAAGGGCTGTGAGGGACGCAGTGAAATCACATGGGTGTGAGACAAAGCCATTCCCAGCCAGCAGTAACAGGATGGATGCATCTTTTATAGAGGGTCTTACGACCCAATGAGACAAGTGCTTTAACTTTAAGGAGGCGAAATTTATCAATTTTTCCTTTTACGATCATGCTTTTGGTGTCAGGTCTAGAAACTCATATGGTCCAAGGTCCCTTATTTACTTTCTGATATGCTTTCCTTATTCTTTCTGATTCTCTTGCAAAGTGTCAGGATTCAATCTGTTTTTGAGAAGCTCACCTGGAGCTGGAGGAAGTTCATTCTGAGCCAAGATCCCATAGATCTTCTCTTCTGCTGGTCTGTGCTCTCTTTCTCATCCCACCACTGAGTCGTCCCCCTGCCTTTCAGGAACCATTTCACCCTATAGCCCCACAGGGTGGGGAAGGTGGAGGGAAGGCAACCGTTATAACCGGAAGCTTGGAGAGGCCAGGCCCCTTTAGAACAGAGCAGATTCCCTTTGCACTGCAGGCACAAAGCTGGGAATCACAGCTCAAGATCTTTTTTTAATGTCAGAATGTAAAAACTTAGAACAAATTTCTCAAAAAGCAGGATATTGGCTCCTCACAATTCCCTACTTAGGCTGGCTTTCTGAACCACCTTAAAGAAAGGCAGAGCTTCCATCTGTGTGCTTCAGAATCTCCTAGAAACAAAGGCTATTCAAGACATTGCACTTGGAGCAGCTTCTCAGGTCCCAAGAGCATATCTTTCTGACTCTTCCTGGACCCAGAACAGCAGAAATGCCCAGCAACCAGGGTTCTTGGGGCAAAAGCTTCAAGAACGTAACAGACCGAAAGGAACTCATGCCAAAGCCATCAGCCCTTTTGACCCCCAGCCTTTCCCAGATGTGTTCAAGAAGAACATCCCAGGGTGAACTCTTGTCTCAAAGCAATCTCCTCTTGTCATTCACAAGACAAATGAAGATGGCAGTCATAATTAGATTGTTACTAACACACCACAGTTAATAAGTGGCACAAATAACCATGTAAATGTCAAGCTGTGAATCTGAAACTTGACAGGACCTTTCAAATCCAACCAGAGCTTGGCACCAAAAAGCATTCTCTGAATTTGCACATAATCTGCTTTTTGCAGCTCTTTTGAGAAGGAGCTATTTACCCAGTAAGCATGTTATTCTCCACCGGAGATTATAGTCATTCCAAGTCAATGAACTGCATTCCAAAGAAAACAGGAGGAACTTAACAATACAAGGTTTTAAGGTTTGGGAGTGAGATAGAGAAGACATGAAGGGGTCGTGTAAGTCATGGTTACTAATACATTGACATTGTTCTAGATCTCTGAACAGCAGACAATACTAAGTCATTTGATTTAAAAAAAAAAAATTCCATGTTGTTGCTAGGCTTTTCCCATGGACAGTTTGGTAGAGGCTGTCCTGGCCAATGAATTGCAGGGTTGTCACTACACTGGAAGGTATCACTCAGTGCTTCCTCCTGGGGCTGTTGTTCACCTGTAACCAGAGGGTCCCCACAGTGCCTTTCAAGCCCTTTATGGTTAAGGATTCCCCCAAGACGTCCCCTTCTTGATTTTAATTTTTTTTTTAATTTTTTTTTAATTTTTATTTATTTACGATAGTCACACAGAGAGAGAGAGAGAGGCAGAGACACAGGCAGAGGGAGAAGCAGGCCCCATGCACCAGGAGCCTGACGTGGGATTTGATCCTGGGTCTCCAGGATCGCGCCCTGGGCCAAAGGCAGGCGCCAAACCGCTGCGCCACCCAGGGATCCCTTGATTTTAATTTTTTTTAATTGAGGTAAGTTCATATAACACAAAACCAACCCCTTTAAAGTACACCATTTAGTGATTCACAATATTTTGCAACCATCACTTCTATCTGGTTGTGAAACACATTCATGGCCATAAAAGAAAACCCTTCCATTAAGCAACTACCCCCCATTCTTCCCAACAACACCTGCCCCCAGCCCCTGGCAACCACTAATCTGCTTTCTACCCCCATAGAAGTATTCCAGACATTTCATATAAATGGAATCATACAATATGCAACCTTTTCTGTCTGGCTTGTTTCACTCAACATGTTTTTAAAAGTTTCTCTGTGATATAAGAGGTACCAGTACTTCAATCTTTGTTATGGTGGAGTAATATTCCACTGTATGGATCAACCCATTCTGTTTATCCATTTGCCAGCTGATGGACACTTGGGTCATTTCCACCTTTTAGCTATTGCGAATAGTGCTGTTATAAATATTCACAGGCACGTTTTTGTTTGAAAACATTTTCAACTCTTTGGGGCATATACCTAGATGTGGAATAGTTGAGTCACATGGTTTAACATTTTGAAGAACCACTAAACTGCTTTCTGTCTTTTTGCTTTTGAATGAAGTTATGCCTGCATTAAAACTGTCTTTTTTATTATTTCTGAGGTTTGGAAGAAGGGAGAGGAGGCTTGCTGGTGGCTCACTTGGCTATCCTGATGCCAGAAGTCCATCATTAAATTAATCTTCTGTATAATTCCAAATGGCTCTCTTCAAGGCCTGTCTTCTACACACTCACTCTCTCTTTGCCCCCAGTGAGAACTGGGGGTGAATGATCATGGGGAAAAGAGGAGGAGGTACCAAACTAATGAGGCAGTGGTCTCCAAAGAAAAGTACACACACCTCAGGGGTGCACCAGAGCATCATCCACTGGGATACATCGCAAGAAGCCATTAGAACTTCTACTTCTATTTATTTTTACCTAAAAGCAAGAAAAAAAAGAGTTTTACTAATCATTATGGGTTGAATGATGTTGCTCCCAGAAAAGATAGGTTAGAGTCCTAACCCCGAACACCTCAGAACACGATCTTATTTGAAGACAGGGTCTTTACAGAGCTCATCAGGTTAAGATGAAGTTATTAAGGTTGGTCTTAATTCTTCTTACACAAAGGAGAAATTTGGACACACACACACACTGCCATGTGAAGATGAAGACACATCAGGGTTATGTGCCTACAAGCCAAGGAACACCAAAAGACTGCTGGCAACCGCCAGAAGCCAGGAGAGAGGCTAGGAACAGATGCTCCTTTACATCCTTCAGGAAGAACCAACCCTACTGACACCTTCATCTCAAACTTCCAGCCTCCGAAATTGTGACACAGTAAACTTCTATTGTTCAAGCCACTCAATTCGCGGTGCTTTGTGACAGCAACTCTAGCAAGCTAATGTTCTAATATTTAATATCAAGGTGGGCATAGGTCCCTGACTTTAGTCCCTCACATGCAGGATCTGACGCCTCCTGATGGAGGAGCTAGCTCCTGGGCAGAACGAGACTAGGAACACTTTGTCTGCATCCAGTGAAGTGGATTTGTGACTTCGATCATCTCATTGTGAGGGAATCGATTCTCACAAACTGAATGAATAGTTTTAGGATTACTACCAAAAAAAAACCTGACTGGAAATACTGTTGAGGCTGCATGGACAGGGAACAAAGGGTCAAGCAGAGCTGACTTGTCCCCTACAGGTGGACCCCCCCTCACCCATGGCACCATAAAAACCCTGGGAAGTTGATCAGAACTGACAGGAAGCTGGTCAAAAATGACTCTGAATCAACAAGAAGGCTACTTTAATTGTGTATTTATATCCCTTTTTGTCAACAAGAACTCCTAAATCTAGATTCATATTACGCCTTAAGGTAATAACTCATGGTAATACAAAGCCACCGCAAGTAACAACACTTAAAACCGTGTTTATGTCATCTTGTTCCTTCTTTTAACCTCAATTTTATGTGTTTTATAATCTACAGAGTGCGTGGCTTATAAGTAAACATACAGAGAATATGTACCTCCCCTCCAACTTTTTACTAAACGGGGACATAATCAGAAAAGTTTGGAAACTGTTGACTTAGGGCAAGGGCTGCAGATAGACATAGGACAACACCCACACCCAGACCAGAGGTGCTGGAGCCCCAATATCTGACCCTGAGGCAGAAACAGATGCAGTGGAGACATCAGAGGTGTTCTGAACCAGGACATGCCCCAGGGATAAAGTGGTCTAGTTCCCCAGATCAGGGAAGGACTCTGTGTACTTGGCAGGAGGACTGACACTGCCTGCCAGGAAGGGACACACAATGGTCAGAACCAGAGAGGACTTCCCCATGTGCACAGGCGCGCCACACAGCCATATTGACCCACGCACATAAGAGGAGGGAGCCAGTTCTCAACTCTGCAAAGCCACGAAGCTTTCCACCTGGAAAAGAACTTGTCAGGATGGCTTCCCCCTACCTGTTGCAGTGAAGGGGAAAAATCCTCAGAGAGCAGAAAGTGACCTTTTAATGCATTTCAAGGTCAGTGAGGAGACACACATTCTTGAGAAGTATGGGCCTCCTGAGCTCAGCAAATCTCAGCAAATTAACATTGAAGAGCAGGACGTTTCAGCACCCACAGTTGAGTGCGTGTGTCAGGAGGTGGCTGGTGGGGGACAGTCTACGCTTTTCCAGAATCCAGAGCCTTCCTTTCTTTCCCCAACTTCCTAATCTGAAGCCCCCCACGTTCCTCTAACTCAAAGGCAGAATTAGGTGGGAAAGAGCCAGCAAAGCAAGAAGCTCTTTGGAGCAAAGAGGTTAGGGCAAGGTTGTCAGGCAAAAAAAATGGAGAGAGATTTCAGGAAGGGATAAAATTATGGGACTTGGGAGTAACAGGAGAATGTGTGAGAAGTAAGGGATGGGTCACAAATGAAGTCCCTGGAGATGCTCAGGAGGTATGAGCCCACTCCCCACACAACACTCCTTCGTGTACACAGGGATGAATCAGCTGCATGAGAAGCATGACACCCAAGTTCTTGGACACCGCACGCTTAGGTATGTGATAGCGTCAGCCTGAAGTCGAGAGCAGATGGAACCTTATTCATCGTGCTGTGTCTAGGTTTACCTGGCAGAGGAAGGGAGAGCCCATCTTCTCCAACAGTGGTTTAAGGAAATTTCAGTACTAAGGAGGGTTAGCCAAAGGGTATCACCCTTGCCAACCACCCAACCAACCCACTAGTAGGGTAGACTGTCCTGACCATTTTATCCCTGGCCAAGTTAAAATACAGAGTCAGACTTCAGAGCAGTTCTCAGTGGCCCCCTATAATTTTAGGACCTTTCTGTGGAGAGTGGAATATTCACAGTGGCCCGTGTCCCTGGAAACTACACCTCCTTCTCCAGCATGCTCTGGGTCTTCCCTACGTGGCTGCCTGATTCTGCTGTTGGATGAGATGTTCTCATCCAGGTGGGCTTTCACCGCTTGGACAGCCACCCATCAGCCCGACTACACTTGGGGTCAACTCAACCTTACCCCTGGAGAGGAACCACAGCTGCTTCTGGAACAGATCCCCCTGGACCACAAGACGCTGATGGCCAGCGAGCAGGAAGGGCTAG